ACCGAGTCCCTTGTTTCAAGAAAATGGACTCTTCCATAATTTTCATGTATAATAATTTTTGGTGTGTATGTGCTTCTTGACACAGTTGACCCTGACAGATCAGGGCAGCCTGAACACTTTAGTGAGGCACAGAGTAACCTATGGTTTTTAAAAACAGTACCTGTGGATGTACTTTGACTATATCTAATCCTTTGGCAATTACTGAGGGAATGAAAATAAACCTAGCCTGGGACAGAGGGGATGAGAACAAAGTAGTGAAAAGGGTAACCCTGATAAGTAAGGAAAAAAGAGATTATTTTCTTGTAAGAAAACAATTTCCTTAGTCCACAAATTGTAGTTATTCTGGTTAAATTATTTTTATACTTAACAAAAGGTAATTGTCCCAAATTACATATGAGTAAAAGCACATTTCTTTGTTTTTACCTTCTTAGTTTTGCTATGGTAAATGTTTACAAAGACTTTTCCTTGTTTCTGTAATCATTTTTAACAGTCATAACAAAAAGTCAGTACACATAGTTTTGGTATAATGTAATGGTGGCTGCCTTCTGAGGTATTGTAGCAAAAACCTTACTGCTTCCTTTCTGTGGTGTAATCTGGGCGGAGGTATCAGGCCCACAGCATCAGAAAGCTTGCGGAAGATTTGTCAGCACAGAGCTTTCTATCTGAACTCCACACCAAGGGTAACGCTACAAATATTGGAGCACAGACAGTGAGAGGAAGCAGCACTTGAGTGTGCTGTGCAAGGTTCATCCAAATCATGACGTTTGATATCACAGAGAGGATTCCTTTTAAATTCATTTTTCTAAATGATGGTGACACTAGTCATCTTACAGTGGTGAACAGCCACCACCAAGCGCCATGGTTGTCTCCTTGCTGCTTTCTTCTTGTGATTGTTTTTATGTCCTTAGATACTTTTATCTATCTGCATTCTGAGGATGCTAGACTGTCTGCTTTCTCATAGCACTTTGCACAATCAGGCCTTGGATTTATGATGATGATACTAACAGTTGTAAGGATGGCTAAGGAATCCTTCCCTGAACTAGCTCCCTGTTGCACAGCAGCTTTCAACCACAACCAGGACATAGTTGAATAACTCGGACAGAATCTCACATGTTTTTTCAGTCCTGCCAAGGAGATAGCAATTGGCATGAAATTCAGCTTCTTACTCCCAGCCACATAACCACTGCTAAGCTGATAAGAGGTGTCACACTAGGCTGACTATTTGGTAATGCCAGGTAGGTAAAGAAGGCTGAAGTGCACCAGTCAGTCATACCCTCATCCTTCCTACCCTACCCTTGCCTGGACTGACAACAACATAGGGAAAGCTTGCTCCTTATGGGAGATGACAAGTATGTTTGCATTACTGGGTTTTGTGGGTGTTTCACCCCTAAGATAGCCATCCACAGCACTGAGCCAGCCTATTGCTGTTGTCTGGCAGGAAAAGTAGGCTTCACAGGTCTTACATCATATTGTGTGTTTAAAATATACATATTTTTCCCCAGTTGTTGGGGCAGAAAAATAATTATTAAAAGAAATTGCAGAAAAAAATTGTGGCTTTTTAAAGTTGATAATCACATACAAAGAATGCTTACTTCATTTTCCTAACTGAATTTATCAATTGACAACACTTATATCTTTACATTTTAGCTACTCATCTCATTGTTTCTTATGTATGAAGCAAAGTACTAATAACTTATTTTCTGTTCTATATGGAGTGGTTATAGCAATGCACCTGCCTCGGGTGGATGGTTTGTATATTTAATCAGCCAGCATAAAATCACTTTGAACACAGCTCGCTTTTGCTGGCACCGAAGATTACAGCAGCAGGTATAGATTAGGTAAATATTTTCTCAGCTGTTTTGTCTTAAATTAAGACAACAGGAAATGAAGTGCAAAGCAAGTATATAACAATAGTGTGATACATGCTCAAAAGGTTTATTTATTAAAATTGTCTGGGACCAGGTTCAATCATAAGAATTACCATAGCGATGAAGTAGTGTGTAGATTTTTCTTTGAAAACCAGATGCCACTTGTTCTGTTTGTAGAAACCATTAAGGTCATAATAAATGTTTCTTTCTCATTAGACCTCTATACTACTATTTGGTTGTTCTGCTGAGCTTAGAGAAAGCAGTGTTTCTTGGTTCTTATTCCACATTCACCATTTGTAACATGGGCTATATACGTATAGGTTACTTGGCTTGTAAAATTATCACAATTTGCTCTGGCTGAAATGTTTTTCTGGTTGAAATATCTTTTTCCTTAAAAGAAAGAGAAAAGAAACGCAATGTAGTATTAATGTTTTATTATTGGAGAGATGGATTTTTTTTAATTTTCCTGTAACATCAGGCAACACCTAGATCTTCCATCTGGTTGTGTAACAAAGCAAGGCTCCTACAGTCATGTGGTCGAGTTATGCATGTGTTTATCACTTTTAAGTCTGTCCACAGTAACTTTTTAACCTGTGGGCTGTTTCTAGTTCAACTTGACACAGCAGCACAAATCACAAATATAATTTGGTACTTCTAAACCTGGTAACATTAGGGATCCGAGTAGCTGAGGGAACAGGGGAGTGCTCTGACTGAGGAAGGGGTTGCAGCACAACTCATATCTGAGTTGGCCCCTGGGCAGCCCCATAGGGCAGACATCTTGTAATTGCCACAGCTGAGGAAGACCTCCTGCTGGAGCAAAGAATCCACCATGAGATATCCAAGCACCCTGACTTCTGTGTTTCTGCCAATCTGAGAGAGATGTCATGCTCACCTCACTCAGAAAAGAATTGGCAATTCAGGGCTGCCTGGCAGATGTTCTCCCTCATCCATACAGCTAATGTCTATACAGAGACAGATCTGACTCCAGCTTTCTGTTCTCTTTCTCTGTTACCATCCATTCCTCCTCTCCCCAAGGATCTCCATGCTGTTGTTGGCCTTGGGGGGCTATTTGTTATGGGTGTGGTTTTGTTTTTTGTTTTTTCCTCCAAATGTCAGAGTATTCAGAAACTAGCTGGAGGTACTGTAGCCTGTAGAAAGGGATTCTTTCCCATTCAGCTCCTCAGACACAAAGCTTGAGAGCACTGGCAGGGATTGCCCTCCTTTGCATAGGTCCTGTGCCCCAAGGCCTGTATTACTACCTCCATAACCAGCAGCACTGTACTTGAAATCTGCTTTATTTTAGGCATGTTCTTTGTGTTTTCCATCAATATGATATTGCATGTGTATCTGCTGTGTGAACAACAGCAGTGAAAGAACCTGTAGGTTGCAACAGGAAGAAATGGGGGGGAAAGGGTCTAAAGTTATTTATGTTGAATCGCTGAAACAATGCCTGAAGCTAAATAAGGGGAATAAACTCAGAGGGTAAATGTTTTCTTCCCAGACTCTTAAAATCCCTCCTCTCCGTTTTATTTACATTCAAATGCCTGTGAAAACCATTTGCTCATTGTAATGAGTGGCATGTATTTTGATAACACAAAATAAGCACCTCATCTTCCACTGCTACTCATGCGTGTACAATTCTTCCCATTTAATTCAGCAAGACTAATTATCTGAATTAGTGACATTAGCTTGAAGCTACAGCTTTGCAGATTGCAGCTCTGGCTTTCTGAACAACTTCTTTAAAGGAATTAGTCATGTCTAAGTACAACAGAACTGTCAAATTGCATCCCCTGGCTTTGTCTGATGTTCTGGTCACAAAGCCAGCTTCATGCAAGACTGTCCTTGTGGCAATAGATTGAAGGCAATGGTTAGTCTAATTTTATTGCTCTGACAACTATAAAATGGCTCATAAAGACTGGGCAGTTACCTTACAAGCTGACAGTAAATGAGGTAAGACACACTTCATTTTACCTTCCACCTCATTGCTGGACTTTGTCACCTGTGCTCCAGGGATGTCTGTTGTCCATTTGCAAATCAGCTCCCATTTGCAAGATTCCCATTTTCATTTAGCTTACTGCGCAGGCATGAAAACTGCAGCCAGTTCTCAGGCAGATCCCAAACCCCTGCCTTGGCGGCTACAACATCAATTAGAAAGGCAACAACAGCCCTTTAGGAATTGATGCACAGGTGGCTTGGATATGGCTGCCTGCAGAGCAGGAGTATTTCTGGGAACAGCAAGGTGCACAGCTGGAGGAGGTATATCTTTTTTAACTTTACATTAGTTTAAATTAAAAAACAATACTTATCATTGCTATCCTCCTTTTGCTAACAAGCTGATAAGCTTTGGTAACTAACGTGTGTGTGCTGTTACTGAGGAAAACAGTGAGAGGTTTAGGATCCGCAGCACTTGCGTACCCAAGGTCAAGCAGCATAGGGGAGGAAAGTGAGCAGGAACGCCAGACACTGTATTTAACTAGTGAGTTCTACTAGTCTACACATCATTTGTTGTCCCTTATCTTTGAATTAACTTCTCGTAATTAGGTAGCATGACTGAAGATGTGAAATTCTACATGGCAGATACTGAACTTACCCCTCATTTATCTCTTTCAAGTGCTTAATGAATTTTCCATTTCAGCTAATGAATAATGGCAATTTCAGGCCCATTGTCCTATGAAGGGAAATTAATAATTTCCTAAGGATAGTTTCATACCTAGTAGTGTGATGGAGATAGCTGAAGTGTCAGAATATGCATTCCTTTTTTAGAAGATCCAGCATTATCTTCACATTCATTCCAGTCATCATACAGTACGCACTCAGAAGGAACCTCAGACCCACAACACACAGATCCCACTATCTGGAGATAAAAAGTGAGGGGAGATTACCTTCTTTCACATACCCTGTTCTTAAGGTAACCATACATTTCATCTTCCTCAACAGGTCCTCTTTTTCCATGCAGAAATTTTGACCAGGTTTGAAAGGGTTTGGTTGCTTAAATGCAACCAAATGCATTAAAAAGTGTAGGAGGCAAACCTTTTCTCCAAACATGTCTTGAATTAAGTTTGCTTAATGGGTAAGAAAAAGGAAAATTGCAGATTGGAGAGCGGAAAAAGGAGGAAAAAAAAAAAAAAAAACTCTTGTCATCACCCTTTTTATTAGAAAATGAGCTGTAAATAAATGTTTCCACTAGCTCCTACTTCCATGGGGTAAAAAAGAATAACTTATGCTGGTAGCTTTAGTGTCAGTCATTTTTGGCTTTCAACACCAAGTACAGAAGTTTAAATGTGCAAAGTGCACAATGTGGATGTACACTATGATGTATACTATAACACCTACTAATTTGTGCTCAATACTTAGAAAAAAAAAAATTGAAATACAATTGAAGTATAGAAAGTATATTCTTCCTGTTAGTCAGATGTGGAGCAAATGTGTTCAACTTCCTACCCAGCTACAGTAACTGGCTTCCATTTCTTCTCAGAAATGTATCTGAAGCAAAATACTGAGGAAAAATGTGGTTTCCTGATAGGAAAACAGGAATGTATATTTAAAAATAACTATTTGGTCAAAAAAAAAAAAAGTTTTTACATGAAAACAAAGTGGTTTCTTTTGTTTAAAACCTCATTGGTAAAAGTTAATGACAGTCTTGTCTTCGTCTCTTTATTCAGTTTACCATGACTTACATATCACTCCTACTGATGAATGTAAAATAGTCATTGAGAGACTGTGCATGTTAATTGTGGTTCTAGACAGTGGGATGAAGTAAAGTAATTTGTGGCAAATAGATAACATGCCATGTCCTAGTATTGCCAGATACAAGATGCATAGGATTTAACTGCTCGTCCTTGTCTGTTGCTGGAGGTGAGTCCCAGACTGCTGTAGCATGTCCATGTAAGGTCTGACGTTGTCACTAGAAAAGATGAAATAAATTGCTTTTAGAAAATAAGTCTACAAAATTACTTAAATATCCTGCCAGCAACTTTGGTCTTTGTGTTTGCCGTCTTTTGTAAATATTTGCCTTTGCAAATATGGTCCCTGAACCAGATTTCTGCATATGCTGTATAGGCCTGCTTTCCTTGGCTGCCTCTGAAATATGAACAATGAGGTCAACAATTGTTTTTTTGTTATTCACAAAGCTTTTCAGAACTCTAGTTTTGTTTTTGTTTTTTGTTTTTCTGTATGCCTTTATACAAGTTCTAGATTTTAATTTCTACCATGCTAGCATTTTGAAGTCTATTTCAGTCTAGTAGTTAACCAGCCTCTCTTTGAAATCATAAATGTGTATCTTTGGGAGTGCCCACAAATGTGTTTCTGTAAACTAGTTATAATCCTGTCATATGGCAATCATAAGGATTATCATTCTGGAGGAAGAATTCATTCTGGAGTATGCCTGACAGCTGTCAGAATCACAGCCTTCAGACACGGATTGGATGATTTATAATTAGAGACAGGCATTTTTCTGATGGAAAAGACAGGTTTGGGGGGTTTGTTCTGTTTTTGCATTGCTCCACACACACATGAAAAACCAAGTAAAGTGACTTCAGGTAATTTCACATTTGTGATAAGACAGAAGTGACTGCTGGCAGCCAAGCACACTGCTGCCTGTATCAGTTCTGGAAATTGAGAGAATATCCTGATGCTTCCATTCAGCTGCCCAGGGATGCCAGTTGAAAGATTGACAGGAAAACTGTCACTTTGGGCTATTTTTTGCACTTCTCTTCTGCTCCACCTTTCAGGTGGAAGAGTCCTAGAAAGGTAATTTTGAGGATCTCCTAATCAATTTCTTATCTAATAAAAAACAGTTTGAAGAGAGAAAGATAAAAAAGGCACAGTTCAAAATGAAGCTTTCTTTCTGAAAGTGAGCAAAAAAATATTTTTAAAATATATTCAATATAAAGTGCATTAAGAGAAAGATTTACCCATTTTCCTGTTGTTGGTTACAGTCAGACTAATCAGATCACTGCGTGGCAACTACTTTAATCACTGAAACCCACTCCTTAGTGAACTGGTGAACTGTCTTTCTATGAGAAGCGTTTCACAGGAATAACACATGTATTCTGCATTATGCTTACCAAACTGAGTCATTTAGCAATTGTTCCCTAAATTTGACAAAACTGTGTCCCAAGAATGTGAATGCTTTAGCATAGTCCTAACAATTCCTCTGTGATCATTTGAGACACTTTATTTCATGTGGTTATATGCTGATCTATAAATACTGTTTTTGCCAAATGCTACGTCTCATTCTGTTTTGTTCAGCTGAGCTTTTATTCTGAATTGAATTTAGTTTTGTCACCAAAGTAAATGTGTATTTTTGTTGTTTTTTCCTTCTAATTTTCTACTCATTAATTGTTTTTCATCTCCACTGTAAATCAGCTATGGTATATTGTCACAGTTCAGCTATTGTGAACTTTTAAAAAGACATACTTTCTTTAAGACTTCAATGAATTTCTCCAGTGTAAATAATAATGAAAATCTTAAAACAATTAAATGACCGTGTTTAAATAACTATAAAACTGAAATGACAAAACAAATCTTTAATTTTCAGGATGTCTCTTATAATCCTATTAGTTAATGTGTACAACTGTGTTGCTAAGATCCAAATGCCAGCAGTCCTGTATTGTACAGTTTTCCTTACCAAGGTACACATATGCATTATGAGCCTATGAAATACTCCACTGAGAAACCTCATCGTACCTGGTAATCAATGGATCAAAGGCAAAAGATTTCATGTCCATGTAGTACTCCGCTGTATCTCTCAAAGCTGTCCATGATTCACTAACCTGGAGTAGATCAAAACAGAAAAAGAGTATTCTGAGCTTTGATACTGATTAGAGTGTGACTATTGAGCAGCCTTGCCTGCGCTGATAAATCAGACAGACTTCTATCCTTCCCCAAAGGTTTCCCTGTTACGTGCCAGTCCAAGACCTGCACTTTAGATTTTGTTGTTATTTGGTTTTGTTGTTTCTAATAGGTGCTGCAAGACAGTGGAAGAAATACCTGTTCAATCACAGCATATCCCCATGTATTTTGGCTGCTGCTTGTGTCCCAGTAGTTCTCAGAATATGGCAAGTGTCTTTTAAGTCGTATAAACTGATTTGCTGATTCTTCTGTCAGAAATGGTATTCCAAGGACACCTGAAATGGAAGCTGAACAATACTTGTAAAATTAGAAAAAAAAAAAAATGTATTTTTAAGTGCACATTCTAATATATATATATATATATATATATATATATATGTATATATATATATATAAAAGTTATATAGAAGGAACACTTCTTTGGAATCATACATTATTAAAAAGAAATCAAAGGTGGTCCTACCTTAGATTTTCAGAAATAATTTAAAGAAATATATACTTAATAAAGCTACTCCTATAAATCATTATCTTGCTGTAAATCCAAAGCGGTTAAATTGGCAATCAAATTAAGGTACTACTTTAATTTTAATACTAGATTTGGTTAAAGGAAACATTTGGACTGGAATTGCACTAGTTTCAGGTGTGCTGAGAAATCTAAAATTAAAAACGGCAACTAAGCCTACCTATGAATTTAACTACACCTCTTAAACCTCCTGGTTTAGATAAATTTATTCTCATTAGTAACAGCATAGGAATTGCTTGTAAAGTATTGTTCAGGCAAAGGATATTGCATTCTAATATTGTTATAACAGGCTTTTATAACATGTTATAACATGCTTTTGAGATCATCCCAGATGCAGAACTTCTTGAAGATCTTAAAATGACAACTCTCTCTAACAGAGAGGGGCTGAATTCCTCATTAACTTCATATGAAAGGTCCTGATATAGCACAAAGCTTTTCTTCTAGTCTTCCATGTTTGAGACTTAAATTCATTTGGGGCTAACGTGCTCTGAAATAACATTTTAGTCTGAAATATGTGATTGTTAAAAAGCTTCTGATTAAGTCTGAACTCAGATAAGTCAGCCAAATTGAGGCCAGGGTCAGTAAACACCTGTGCTATGATTTAGTTGAGTGGGTTGAAATGGACGCTTGAGGATGCCTTGCACATGCTTGGTACTCATGGGGCAAGAATGTGAACTCTAATGTATTGTATCTTACAATGGGAGCTCCGTAGGGCAAACTGATGCCTCACTGGCCACTCTCCAGTGCTTTTATTCATGTTGTTTTCAGTTTTTTCCACTAGAAACTTAAGCATGGGCCTTTGTGTGCAGTGTTCAGCAGAATCAGGTCCTTTGCAAGTGATCAGACATGCTAGCAATATGGTCACTTCTCAGTTTTCCAAACAGGAAATATGTATACTGAATGCATGTATGTAGCAGATTTTTGAGGCAGGATATTTGTTGTCTCTTTTCATAGCTAAGAAATGCTTGAAAAAAAAGGTGAGAAAATGTTGATTATACAGTAATAACAACAACAAAAAGTGGAAGCGGTTATCTCTTAACTCTGAAATAGTTCTCTAGAAAATTTACATAGGAAGCAATGAATGTAGTTCTTTTCCGCTTCAGTTTCTTCAGGTTCCAAGTTACTTTAATCAGAAACTGGAGGCAGAAACATGTGGGAGGGGATTTCCAAGGAACACTCACCTTAGGAAGGTGAACAGACACTGGCTAACCATAGTTCAGACCCTTAAATGTGACCCTTTCTGGTGTGGAGATTTCTTGTACAAGCTGCTCTCTCCCTTAGGAAACTAAGCAATAGCCATTTATGTACTTCAGAAAACAAATACAATTTTTGCCTGGAGAAGAAAAACTATATATTGCTTGCACTTATCCATTAAACTGCTACAGTTCTTGTCCAGAATTGTGCAAGATAAAACTAAGCTCATGCCAAATTTCATTACATCTCTGGCAATTTACTGTTATCCAGTAGAAAATCTATGAGCTGTTAACTTCCCTTTAGTGAATTTGGGGGGTGTTTTGATATTAAATATTCTGTAAAGTCATGATTACATTTCTGGACTGAGAAAACTGAACTGGGATCAGAAATTGGCTCAGTAACAGGCTTCACTTTTGTTTAAATGCATATATAGCTAGTAGGGGCCATTAAACATTAAATTTTATCACCAATGTGTGCTTTGGCCTCCTGGCTTCATGGTGAGCTATGAGAAAGATTATTAGGCAGCTCTTTCTGTGTTCCCCCCTCCCACTGCCAACATCTTCACAGAGTGAGCTTGTAGCAGTACTGGTGGGACAATGAGGTATTCTCTTGGCTCCTGTGGTGCAGTGCTGTTTTTTAAGGGTATTAACTTTCAATTTTTGACATATAGTCTCTTCTGACTGCACTTATATCCAATGAGAAATTCTATCCCTAACTATACCCAATGTTCACTTTGATTAAAGGGCACCTGTCTGCCCCAAGGAGGAGCAGGGTGTCAGCTCTGCCTTTAGCATCTTTTATGCTAAATTCACCCCCAGGTTTTGTTCTTTCCTATATGCTGTAAAAGCCATAACAAAAAATAATTACTATGCTCTCTGAAATATTTCCACCTCTCACCTTCTGCAGCTGGATCAGTCTTTGCAAGGCTTGTCCCTAGCTGCTGGGGCACTCTGAAGACACATGAGTAACATGGAAGATAATCAGGTAAGTGATTTTACTTTGTTGTTGTTGTTCTTTTCTTCCCCCAATTATTTTACTTTACATTCACACTAATCCTTCAGGCTTACCTCACTCTCCCGTCATCTTACTGTGAGGATCATTATATGGCTCTGAATGGGGCAAGCTTGCCTGAACAGGGCAAACTTCATTTGCCTGCCGAACAGCTCTGGTTGAACCTTTCCTATTGAAACTGGAAAGAGCCTTACTGGTCTCAGGCATATCACTGGAACTACTCAGACAGAAAGAAGGGGGTGCATGTTTGCTTGTGCTTTGGCAGAGCTCAGATAAAGCAGTCTGAAAGCTTAAACATAGACCTGGGAGTATCAGACTAGATGTCTCTATTCAAGTAGCCTCTTTAAATACAGTGTTTAGTCTTCAGCAAACAACCTCTGTGTTGCCTCTGTTTAAGTTTCCCAGACAGGGTGTAAATTTCCCCACATTTTGAATGCTTAAGTAGAAGTTCATGGAATTTGTTGCTCAGGTAGATGTTTCAGAAACAGTGTTCCTGGAGGACTTTAGGCTGCATGTGCAGCTCTTTGTCAAAAGCTGGGAGAACAGAGGTACAGAGCACCTAGGCATGAGACTAAAGGGAGGTAGGATCAGGTGGGTAGATAAGAGTTAAAGAAATTGCTCACAATGCATAAAATTGAGCTGAAAAGAAGAATTTGAAATTGTAGTGAAACAGTTCTCACTGTTCAGAGTGGTCATGCAAAATCTACATTAATGTTTCCATTCAATGCTGTTTTCCCTTTTTTCTCTTAGATAAATGTTATTTGAAAAGCACATTTAGGGATTTATGGCCCAAAGGGAAAAACAAACAATGTATGCAGACGTGAACTATTGCAAGAGCTGCATCAACTGTACCAGCTAGAGTGGTTCTTTCATCATCTCTAGATTCACTCAGCATTCTTGTATGAAAAGCTAATTATAGAAAAATTGGCTGTTTTTCTCAAGCAGATGTGAAACATGTATTTACTGCCTTCAGCACTTAGTATTGTCTGCCCTGTACACCTAAACAGATTGTCCAGTGGGAAAACTATTAGTAATCATTATTGCTATGATGTTTTCCAAGCATCTTTTTTAATATTAGGGAGAACTGATATGACACCAGTAATAGGCTTGACATCAGGAGGGGGTTCTTCACAGAGAGGGTGGTTGCATACTGGAACAGGCTCCCCAGGGAAGTGGTCACTGCATCGAGCCTGTCTGAATTTAAGAAGAGATTGGACTGTGCACTTAGTCACATGGTCTGAACTTTTGGGTAGACCTGTGCGGTGTCAAGAGTTGGACTTGATGATCCTTAAGGGTCCCTTCCAACTCAGGATATTCTATGATTCTATGATTCTAAACTTCAGAAGAAACAGTGGTAGACTCTTATCATCTTTGTCAAAATAGCAACTTAATCCAGTATTGAATGTCAAAAACATTGACTAAGGAAGAGGCATATCAAATAGGTTTGAATGCCAATCTAATAAAAATAATAATTTAAGTGTTATAGTATAACAAGTAAAATCAACCTACATACATCTTAAATTATTGTGTATTAAAATCTCTTCATACTAGATTCAATCAGAAGCTTAACTCAATTGTGCAAGGACAGATTTTCAGAAGGAATGTTTAGCTGGGTGCAGCTACTAAATCTTCCGAGGAAGAGCTCTTTTTCAATCAGCTGAATGCATGATGATACACTTCACATGGAGAGAAATGTGAGCGTGGGATTAAATTTTGACACCTTCGCCTCTTTAGGCACCCTTGTAATTGATGTGTTTTTTTCTTTTTTGAAAGCTGAGCAGTAGGAGACAGTGTGCTTAACAGTCTTTGGGGAGAGCAGGCAAACCACCATTTACATGTCTAATGGTAGAGCTAAATAATCAGAAGACAAACTTTTAAAATTGCTTTAAGATAGGATATGTCTGTCTCCTTCCACCATCCCAATCCCCCCCCCCCCCCCCCCCCCCCAACTCAGGAGCCTTTTTATCCAGATCAGCGGCAGTATGTAAGTAGTGAGGAGTAATGTCAAGGCTTGGGACCACAGTTTATTCCTGGTGTGCATCTAGCACAAGGAAAAGTGGCTTATGTCTAATTTGCTGTGATATTTACAAAAAAAAAAAAAAAAAAAATTGGTAATTACTTAGCAACACTTCAGTTGCTCTCTGTGAACATTGTCATATAAACTGGAGCTGTTTGTCTCTCTCCCTGATTTTTGAAGACTATTCCAAGTTTCTGACAATGTGAAAACCCATTGCTGAAGTTATTTATATCAGTGGAATTTAAATGTCAGAAGTTGGCAATCGCTCTGATTCCCTTCCTTTTAGGCTAATGATTCTTATTATTAGCTTTGATGATTGCCTGGTCAAAATGTCATCTCACAGGGGTAAGGCTGTCAGTGTTATCAGCACTTAAAGCCAGCACTGGGGCAGAGCTAAACTTCAGCCTTGGACACTTCAACCTTGCTGAGGTTGCTGATGCTGACGTGTTGGGAACTTTGAAAAGGTAAATCTAATGTTGCAGCTCAGGTATGTTTCTTAAAGCTAGGAATGAAGCAGAATGGACCTCCATGCTTCTGGTGTCTAACTCTCTAAACCCCAAAAAGATTCATGAAGCCAGACTCCAGGACTTGGTCTTGGGTTGTTGTGTTTTGGCTCGGCTTTTTGTTTTGTGACTTTTTTTTTTTAGATGAATTTCCAGTCACACCTAAAATATATTCACAAGCTGTAAAATATCTAGGAAATGTTAAATAAGAATATTATTTCATTTTCAATCTTTTTTTTTTCTGCAACACTTAAGGATTCAGCATACCTTAATGCAACAGTTTAAGCACTGAAAGAGAAGTGTGGAAGTAGCTGGCTTTGTTTTCACTCAAGTACTTCTCTGGGTTGTGTGGCACTGCTTGGAAATCAAGATGTTTTTGTCTTACAGTACTTCACATACATGGGTGAGTGGCTGCAGAGGTAGGTTTTTGGATTCTGCAGGCCACCTTTGGGCCATGTGTTGCCTTTTCACTGTTGAACTTTTCCCAGTTAAACTAAAATTGAACTCTTGTATGTTGCTTTTGCAAATGATGAAAAAGTGTGTTTTCACATGGGGTATGTATCCTGAAGAACTTAAAAACTAGGTTGATTTTCTAATACCTGTCAACTACAACATTTTGAAGTCATTGATTGTTAATTGCTTGAACATTGTGCATATCCCCCTAGTCTTTGAAATTTTGGTCTCATCTGTTTATTTTTAAAGTACAGTAGTGTTTATTCCTCAACAGTTCTTAATTTTACAGCACGGGACATGAACTCGCTGGTTCAGAAGATGAGAACTCAGTCGTTAGTAGTCACTACAAATACCTCATTCCTCATCAGCAAAGGCAGACAAGTTACACAATGCAGAATTGTGTGTTGAATTATGAATTATGTGTTGGTGTGATGCCAGGGGTCAGAAAAAATGTCAGGTATGAGTAAAATAATGGGAATTTGGCAAAATTCCTGGATAATCCTAAGGAAGGAATTACTTCCCCTGCAACAAAGGATTAAAAACACATGGTGTTGCTCAGTGGGTCTTGGTGAAAATTCCTTCCTAAATCCACATGTGGCTATCAGTTTAAGCTCAAGTGAATGGGCAGGACACCCCAATCAGGCAACTGAGAGACTTCAATAGCAATCCTAGTGCCAGCACACCACGCTCCTGGTCCATCCCTTGCTGCTGCACTATGACTAGAGAAAGAGGTCCAGAAAACAGCTCAGAAAACCTATTCCCTGAAGTGTGGAAATGGTTTAATACTGAGAATGATTTATAGCAGCTGAGCTGAGGGTGTGATTGAAGTATCAGGTTCTTGCTAGTGAACCTTACAGGCTTTGTGTTAATTCACCACCACCTTGGCCATTTCTGGAAGAGTTCACAATTAATGAAAAACTGAACTTTTTGCTGTCAGTGATCAATGAAACTTTTTAGAGCCCATTAGAAATCAGCAGTAAATAGTTCTTCTCACCTTTTAAAGAAAGGAACATGGGAAAGAGAGCAAACAAGGCTGTTGTGAAAGACAGAGGGAAAAGGGAGATAAAGCAAAGATAACAGTCTCCCACAGAAGGGGCAGCAGGGTGCTTTCCTACTTGCTTCATTTCACATGGAACTGCATGTGTCCTGGGGGCCTGTCATGGAAAGGAGGTGAGGTCTGAGCAGACAGACAAGTACCCAGAAATAGTCCAAGCTCAGGTGTACAGCAGATCATGACATACAAACAAAGGGAGAGGAAGGTATCTAAATGTACTCAAACACTGGTGGGGAGGATGGGGGAGAAAGAGAGAGGCTCTTTCCACCTTCTTCCCTTCCTGCAGATCGTCATCGCAACTGAACATTAGAGATATACAAGGAGGAAGAGAGCTTGGCCCAGAAGTGAGAACACACCTGAAGGTGTTCCCAAATCACAAAACACCCTTTTTTATTATTATTAATTTGTGATTGAGTATTGGCTAAATCTATTTACATCATTTTGCCTTAGATCTTGTCTTGATAGAGCACTCGTATCTAAAAAATATTTCTAATGCATGCATTGATGGACGTCTTTCTATGATGCAGGCAATCACCCAAGAAGTCTATAGTCACTTAGTGCTTCCCTGCTTTGCTTTAATTTACTGAGGTATAAATAAGTTTCACTGTTCATTGACTGTAGCAGTCTGTGCTTCTTGAATAAGAGTGTTCTTTCAGCTTTGCTGATGCTACTGCCCTGCCCCATTCATTTTTGCACTGCTCCAGGTTTTACAGACTGACTAATTTTAAGTGCCCTGGTTTCAGTTTCAGGGTGTTGTAAAGGCCCAACAATCAAAAAAAAAATGAGAACTTTTTATAAAACAAAAATAAAAAAAAAGTCCCCTTAAGCAATTTCAAATCAGACAACCAGAAATCACTCATGAAACAGATCATTGTCAGTCCTAAAAAAAGTGTGTGTGAAGTCTGTTTCTTGCAAGCAATGAACGATGAGAGTAGAACAATGTCTGAGGAAAATTCCAGGAGATGGAGAAGGGGAAGGAAAAAAAAAATAGCACTAAGCTACTGTTAAAATTTTAACAGCCGAGGAAACATTCTGTAAGAATCTCTTTCAGTCAGGAATGTGTCCTCACTCATAACACCTGAGAGGTTAATCTGCAAGAGATTCAAAAGTAATCACAAGTAGCAGAACCAAGATGATTTCACAGACTTGGCTATGCAGCCTTGTGCTCGCCTACTCTCCCATATGTCCCGCTGCAGTGATTTCCAGTTAATTTTCTTCTATCCATGCTGTTCCAGCGGTACCATGGTTTCTTTTTGTCAGCTGACTATTTAACACACCAGAAGGGAATGACATGAGACAGGGTGCCAGGTGCTTACCTGTAAACAGCAGGGAAGACACCAAAATATGGAACATTTTCAGAGACATCGCAAATCATCCAGAAAGTTTCCTTTATAAGACAGAGGCAGTCATACAGCTTTATACTTTGTTATCTTTAAGTTTATAAATCATTGACTGGATACCTGTGAACCGCTGGTGCATGTGGAGGGCAGGGTACAGTGCTTAGTTCAGATTTGTGTTGTATGCCTCTGTTTGTACACTTTGGACTTTGCCAGCAGAGTTTCTAATGAGCCATAATGGCTCATTATTGTGTGGATGCATTAACTTCTGCATACGCTTTGTAATGTGAAATAGTGCATTGGGTTTGTTCCGTGTTCAGTGAACATGGCAGGTGTCTGAGTGTCAGTCTTCTGCATGATTGTGTTCCCCTTACTGCAGTAATGGATGTGATCATTTTATTGTCTGATGTATGTGGGAAATGGTGTTTGAATCAACCTGCTCTGAGAGCAGTGCCCAAGCATACAGTATGTTTTAGCTATGTAATGTATGGATTGAGAATAAAAACCTGTGAGAAAACTGACTGAGAAAGCACTAGAACAGGGAAGAACAAGGAGGTAGGCTCCTCACTTGAACTAGACATAGATCACAGGGTCTCCTGTTGCTGCCTTCTGGTGCTGGGAAACCGAAGAGTGTGAGACACCATGAGTTCATGCTGCCTTACTTCCCCCTCCCCTCCCCCCACCTTAAATTTTGCCTTTTTCTGTACAATTCTGTCAATAACTGTTGTCTTACTGCTGACCAATTTATCTTCATAAGTTCACCTACACCGATGACGACAGACCAGGGAAAGCTGAGCTTTATCACGTGTTGAGATAAGATGAGATGAACTGCAGTTCACCCCTACAGGTATGCACGAAGGTCTTTACGTCAGGCAATTGGACCTTGCTGATGTTACAGGTCCAGGGCCAGACTCCACGGTGATGAGCAGCAGTATTTCATCCTTATGTACATGATAGAAATCATGCAGTCTAGACAGTGGATGGAGCAAAGGTTTGTTGGGAAACAAAATGGCGTTTAGCTATGCTTTTAGGCTTATTATTCCTGTCTTTACACAAGCATGGGCAAAAGGGGAGGGTACTGAACAGCAGGCTGAACAATGGAAACATTAACTTCAATAGGGCACTTCACAGCTTTATTGTTATTTTAGTACTGTTTTTAGACAAATACAATTAAAAAGAACCAACAAATAATTCTGAATAGAGGCCAGGTGTCCTGCACCCTGGAGCCACATTAACAACAACTGTTAATTATCCAAATTCAGGATATTTGAATATCCTGCCTTCTCCATCTCTTAACTACTAAACTAAATGTTATATGTCAGCTGTTTTGTGGACTAGCATTAAAGGTGGAAAGAAGGTGACAGTGGGTGACACAGGTGTCTGTGACAGAAGTCCTCAACTATAGATTCCCAAGAAATACATGCTAGAGGAGTATACTGTAGTTACCCTTTAACTCAGACTTTTCTGGGCTATGTTTTCCATCCTGTTCCATACTTCTGTCTTACATGGACCTGCTTTTCTAATGCAGGCTGCTTCCAAAAGTTGTTTTTTGTGTGTTTTATACCTTCATTATATATAACATAGAATAAAGTATGAAAGAATATGTTGGCCTGTCATTTTCTATTCATTGCAGTTCTCTGTATTTTTAGAGTGCAGGTAAGGAAAAATGTCAGTGATAGGCCAAGTGAGATGTTAGCAACCACTTAGACTTGATGCTACCTGGGAACGGGTAAGAGGAAGGCATGCTGGACTGGCAACACAGACCCATGGTATATACTGTTTCTATCTCATCTTCAGAAGCAAGATGATGAGATGAGAAAGTTTGTCTTTGAAACAGGAAGAGCAGAAAAAAATGATAGAGGCCATGGATTCCAAGTGACCCTTAATTAAGTCCAGGCTTCCAGAACTTAACATTTCATCCTTGCTCTTGCAAGTTCCACATAAAATCCACCACTTGTGCTGGAGAATCTGAATTGCTATATATTTTTTATTTTATTTTTTACCGATAAAAACATGATTCTTATAGGGAAAGTCCTCTAGCAAGGCCACAGAACACAGTGGGGATGTTGATGCACCCAGGCCCAAGCTTTGAGTTCAGAACATAAGGCTTACTGTACTGAGGCTTACGAGCCTTGCTGCAGAGAGGACAAGTGGTCAGCCAGATTAGGGGTTGATACAAGATTTGGGAAGCAGTTATGCTGCAGACAGTATGTCTCAGAAATATAGATCCATGCCCACCCTGCTTTTAATTCTTTCATCCCTTATCATGCCACAACCTCTTCTATGTCTGATGTTGGTCTTACTCCTGTCTTATGTTTTTTCTTGCCCGGCCTGCCTATCTCTGCCTTCTTTCTTCAAGATTTGTCTTCCGTCTTGTTGCATGCTACGCAATTTTATATAAAATGACACTATGCCCGTAAAACTTAACTTTAGATTGAGAATTTATTAGTCCCTTATATGAAAAGTGATTTCTTGGTGCTCTTCTCATTTCCTCCTCTCACGTGTCCTGCTTCCCACATCCAAGAGTGCATAAAGCTGTCAGATTCACCATCTCCCAGCTTCCCATGTCAGTCCTGCTATTTCCCAGTCTTACCACCTCTCAGTGGTTAATGGCTAGTGTACTTTGTGAAACCCTGTAATATAAAACTGTATACGTATATATGTGTGTATATATAAAAGAAAAACACCACTGTATTTAGTCTAGGGGTTGTATATGCCCAGATGGATCACATTCAAAAACTTTTTAGGAGACAGATGTGTTCTTAGATGTTCTTTGAGGGCATTATGTAGGCAATCTGAATACCACTAAAAAATAAATATAATTAAATAAAATTAAATGCATGAATGCCTTCATTTGCTCATTGAATGTAGAATTTTAGTTTTTAATCACTAACAGATATGCAGGCTGCAATTTTTGGAAGATTTATAACTTGGCCCAATGGCTCAAATTTTCATATGGAGGAGTGAATCATCATATCATTTTCATATGATACCCTCCCTCACTTGTCAAATTTCTGTTCCCTACTTTAAAGCATGGAAAACTTGTTCAAAGGAGTTGTCATCAGAATATTCAGTGCAAGTTAAACTTCCCCCCACACATCCTTGTCTCATTTGCAGAAATAGCTAGATGAATATCTGAATAGCTGAAATGCTTCCAAAAAAAAAAAAAAAAAAAGCTAAGGCATACACCTGACAGACCAAATGATAAGTTTAAGTGAGTTACAGGGGCTTGAAAGTAAGATTATGTAAAGCAACATTTCAGGCTATCAGAATAGTACCAACCTTATCAATAAGCTGTAAGGTAGGATTCAAACAGTAGAACTCAAAGTTGAGAGAAGTTCAGGCTGTTCTTCTTTTTAAATTTTATAACCTTAGACAGTAAATCACTCTTTTAGAGGAAAGATAGGACAGAGAATGTAGGTTCTTCCCTTGTTGTTACTTTTTTTTTAAATTCTTTAAATAAAAAGGAAAAAAAACTGTAAATGTTCTTGTGCAAAACAATTTTAGGAAAAGAAGGATAAAAATATGTTGGGCCTGTTTTAAAAGCAAACTAACAAAGAGTGTTGACTGTTGGTTGTATAGTGTTGCACCTGTGTCCTTAAATATTTTTCTATGTGTTTTAAACTAGTGAAATAGTTGTAAAATGGCAAACTTATAAAAACATCTGAGACAGAGGAGCTGAATATCTTTAAGACCGCTTACAGCTTCAAGTTCATTTAAACTAGCTTACATATAAGGTTATAGGGAAAGAGCAAACAGGTAGGAGATCAGTCCATAAAGAGTGAAAAGGAAGATGGAGCTGAACAATATGAGCTGGCAAATCACACATCATTTTTCTTTCTCGGCACTTGCTTCATACTTCTACATGCACCTCACAGCAGGCAGCTTAACTCTTCTGGTCCAGTTTTGCCATCTAAGTATAATGCATATATCACAGACTTTGCAAACTGCTATGTAATTGCTGAGAAATGTCATCTTCTGGAGGATTTAACATCAAGTTCCTCATTTGTTTCAGTTTGTCTAACATTTACCACTTCTGTTTGTTCATCTCTAAGGCATCTTTGACTTAAGTGGATCTGCCTATATTAGTGTTGAACTTCGTATTTTCAAATGTCTGTTTTGTTGCTGTGGTATCTTTTCGGAGTTGGGATGATAAAAGTGCAAGGTAATTTTTGAAAGAATATAAAATATAAGCAGGCTGTGAAAGCCTTCTCTCAAAACAGAGCAGTGAAAACCTGCACAAAAAGTTGTATGCCATCCTGGGGCAGTCTATTATAAGGACAAGAAACAGAATATTTTAACAGAATAAATAGCCCTAGAGTTTCTTTTACCTCAGCTTATTGCTATATTCTCCACCTCATTTGGACTGGTTAAACTGAGCAAGGATGCAGCACAAAAGAAAGCTAAGGGAGTGAATCCTCTTTCAGAGTCTGTGCCTTAGGATCGCAGTATAAGCACCTGTCATGTTGGATTAAATTGGAAGCCCAATGGCCCATGATTGACTGTGGCCAGCAACAGAGATGGGGTCTAACGAAACAGCAGCCTTTACTGTTTCCAACACTGTGTACAGCCTTCCATCTCCTGTACAATCATCAGCTTATGCTTAACAATTTGAATTAAGAGACAATAGTTTAGTATTTAATGTTTCTTGATAGATTCTCAAAACCTTAGTTTCACAACCAGTTTTAAAACTTATAGATGAACTAGGTACTGTGTTGAAGCCTGTATCTGACAATCACATGGGTAAAGTTTCTTCTGTTACTTTTGTCTCAAAGGCAGAGCTCAGCTATGGAATTCTGCATGTGAGTGCACTGCTAGCATCTCAATGCAAAAGATGGTCCTTGGCTGGTCCTTCCCTTGTTCTGGGAAAAAAAATGGGTGCTTTACAGCATTTTTGGTTTGTTACTTATTCCTTGCTCTGTTTTTTCAGTTTCTGTTTCTGTATTCTGCCTCATTACCTCAGAATAGCACAAGTTTTGGAAAACACCTGCCATCAGCGTGGTGCTTGGGATGTGCCCAGGGGCAGCACACTGCTTCCTACTGCTACAAGCAGTGCAGGGGAGGACACCCTTCCAGCGTCACCATCAGTGTGTTAAGATGGTTAAATACATCCTTT